TTGGAGTGGGGCAAGGCTCAGTGAGATGAGAAAGGAGAGGTCCCAGCATGTTTTTAAATTAATTATACATTTTAAAATGTATGTTTACATTTATTTTAATTTTTTAATTAAATAAAAAACTAATAATTGCAACTCCCAGCAGCCCTAGCCAGCATAGTCAATGGCAGTGGCATCACTAGGGTTAGCATCACTTGGTGCAGTAACTCATGGTGTCACCTCTCCCATACCACACCATACAGAACCCTTTGTAATGTTTTTTGTACTAATGTTACTTGTATATCACTGAATATAATGACAATAGTTAGGACATAAACAACTAGGAAAATTTTAAAAACTATACCTTTCAATTACAATATCATGCGCACAGCCTAAATGTATTGAAAGGTACATAGTTTCATGTGTAGAAAGACCTTATAGCACTTTTGAGAACATCTAAAGAAAGAAGTTGGCAGCATGAGCTTTTGTAGACTAAAAAGTCTACTTCCTCAGATGCATTTGGAGGAAGCAGACTGAAGTCTAGGAAAGCTCATGCTGCCAACTTCTTTCTTTCAGTTAGTCTCAAGGTGTTGCAAGGTCTCTCTACATACTGATTCTGCAGACTAACACGGCTATATCTTGAATTTGACCACTATGGATAGTTTCATATGGTTAGAGTGAAAATTCAGCGTTCTTTAAGAAAATTTTAAAAGAATTAATTTTTAATTTAGAGGGCTTCATGATGCTCATTCCTGGTGTATTTCCTAGTGGACAGGTGGCTACCTTCAGTCTCCAGACATGAAGTCATATCCAGCTTGGATCTGAGTGGAAAAAATATTGCCCTAGATTCAGAAGATTGTTCCTGAGGGGTTGAATTTTGGTGCTCTAGATCAGGGGTAGGCAACCTAAGCTCCGGGGGCCGAATGTAGCCCCCCGAGGCCTTTGGATCAGCCCCAGGCTGGTCCTGCCACCGCCGCCCACCATGATGATATTGATTATTGTTGTTATTACTTGTTCTTGGGGTTTTCTTGGCAAAATCTCCACAAGGGTTTTGCCTTGGCTTTTCTGGGGCTGAGAGAGTGTGCATGCATATTTTTAATTTTTTTTAAAATTATTTTTATTTTATTGCCTACCCCTGCTCTAGATCAATGAGAATCAGACCCATCTGGACTAATTAGAAGTTACTAGGATCACTTATGATCACTGCCTTGCCCCAATGTCCTGCCTATGGGAGGAAACATAAACAAGAGACCTTGATGCTAGGGATCAGTGATTGATTCATAGCACTGATACCTGGCATCAAGGTCTCTTGTTTATGTTTCCTCCCATAGGCAGGACATTGGGGCAAGGCAGAGATCATAAGTGATCATAACTGAACTGATATTTTCTGCCCCTCTGTCCCATAACTGGAACAAACCTTGTCTACAAACCTGTCATTGGCATTAAATCCACAAAGGGAGTTTCTCACAAATACTGGAACACGTGGTCATGCAATGTGGACACATGTTCAGTATAATTTGTGAACACCTGTATGCCTGTTGGGTTGAAAGAAAGAAACAGGAAGAAGCTAATATAGCTCATGTCCTACTTAAGCATAATTTGTTGTGACTCTGTCCATTATTAAAACTTCTGATTGTTTGTCTCAGCTGTTCATTACTTTATTCTTATTAACCTTATTCTAACTAAAAGGAGGAAGGTAGCACAGTATTCATGAGTCCCTCAGTCATCTATCTGGGTATAGAGTTGGAAGAGACCCCAAGGGCCATCCAGTCCAACCCCATTCT